CAGAATACAATAGCAGGGGAGATTTGTCCATCTCTGTTGTTTAGTGTAAATGAAGGAATCTGTTAAAATGTATTTTCTTCAGCAAAAAAAATCTACAGTATCTCCCATAAGTGAGTACACCCCTTACATTTTTGTAAATATTTTATTCTATCTTTTCATGTGATAACACTGAAGAAATGACACTTTGCTACAATGTAAAGTAGTGAGTGTACAGCTTGTATAACAGTGTAAATTTGCTGTCCCCTCAAAACAACTCAACACACAGCCATTAATGTCTAAACCACTGGCAACAAAAGTGAATACATCCCTAAGTGAAAATGTCCAAATTGGACCCAATTAGCCATTTTCCCTCCCTGGCGTCATGTGACTCATTAGTGTTACAGGGTCTCAGGTGTGAATGGGGAGCAGGTGTGTTACATTTGGTGTTATCACTCTCATACTGGTCACTGGAAGTTCAACATGGCACCTCATGGCAAAAAACTCTCTGAGGATCTGAAAAAAAGAATTGTTGCTCTACATAAAGATGACCTAGGCTATAAGAAAACAAAATACCATGTGGACAGCGCATAAATTAAATGCATTCAATTTAACAATACATGAGCAATATTGCTTCACATAAGCAAAGTGAATAATTGTAACGTTCAGTCCCAATTCGGAAAAATAAAGTGCCCAAGTGTTGGATACTAGTTGGTGAACTTCGTACAAAAATGACAGGCGCTCCTCTGTGCTCAATCAGTGCCCCACATGGATGTGCACTCACCGTTAGCCATGGACCAACTATCTCTAGGTTGGTCTTAAGTGCCTGGTTTGGGACTAGCCCAATGCATGATGGTAAGAATGGCACCAATATTCATTCCTGGGAATCATGCGATCTGGCTGATAGTAACCAATAGGATTCTGACCAGCGTGGATATAAATGACAGTGTAGTTTCAAAAGAGCATTTTTAAACTGTCTCCTTTTCTCCCAGGCAGTAAACTAAGTTTCAGCATGTGAACAGAAACAAAAGAAAACATCCCATAGTGTAAAACCATAAAAAACTTTAGTAATGGGAAGAAATTATAAGAATAAAACTCACAAGCAAAGTGCTCATAACCTGACACTCAGTGCATTCATTTCTTCAGTGTTGTCACATGAAAAGATATAATAAAATATTTACACAAATATGAGGGGTGTACTCACTTCTGTGAGATACTGTATAAGGTGTCCATTTAATAAACAGTGATAATACCTTCATTATCATGCTCTGTCTTTTCTCTGCACATCAGTGTTTTTTTTATATCACCACTGGAGGAAAGTTTCAGCCTGTTTAAGTGGCTGGATTATCATGGTGATAAGCTGAGAAAAGTAGCAGTGAAATATCACCATAATTTGCAGAGAAAAAGCTGGAGAAGAAAGCAGGGAAGGTTTTTAAAGGATGCACACAGGCATTTGTGAGAGGAAACCAACAATTTTGATAAAAAGGGTCATAGGTTATTCCTTCAACCTATGTGATTTACAAACTAAAACAAATATCAGCATATTATTATAATGCATCACAATGCAAGTGCACAATACACTCCAACACATGTTATATGCATCATAAAGCACACATACTGGTGCAAACCAGCCTTAAGTGAATTTGGTACAGAGGTTGCAAGCAGCAAAAAAGGGAGGAGGAACAAGGAGCTATATGTTGTAAATCCCCCAGATGCTTTACAGAATGAGAAATCCTGTAGTTATGCCTGATTAATGTAAAAATGCTTACCACCTGGCTCCTTTCGCCAATAAAGGCCTTTATCACCAAGTCTGACTTGATGATAAATTTTAGGGAGTTTTCACCATATTTTTCTCTGTGATAATACATTTTTGGGCCTTTCACTGTTTATTAAACAGGCCATTCCTTTTACTTTCTGCGTACATATCATCGAGAATTCATGGTCAAAAGAAGGAACAAAAGAATCCCCTGATTTTTAGTTCCCACCTGACTTATCACCATTTATTAAACACCACACCAGGGGCGGACTGATCATTTGGAAACTCGGGCACTGCCCGAGGGCCCGGGGTCAGTAGGGGGCCCCATGAGATGCCTCTTACCTTTTTCATAGGCTTTTTTGAGTTTGGGCAAGGAGACAGGGGCCCCATGATCTCCTATTGCCCGGGGGCCCCATGAGTTGTCAGTCTGCCCCTGCACCACACTAGGCACTTATCACAGTTATAAGCTGTGAAAAGTCTTATACCTGCTTATCACTAGCTTTTTAAAAAATTTTAAATGTACACCTAAAGGTAACCATACATTATACAATTTTCTTGTTCAATTGTCTTTAAATTTACCTTCAGCTATGTAGTGCCTGTTTGCATACAAATTGAAAGTGTTTAGGTTTGACCTCATTTTATTTGATAAAGGAAAATTGGACAAGAAAATGGTTTAAGGTATGGCTAGCCTAAGTGTATGGCCAGTTTTAGTCTCTTTGATGACATATGGGTTGTGGTTATCTCTTTAATAGAGTTTATCAGTTTTTTAAGAATGCATTTGGTACACTCTATCTGTGCTTGTTTATTTCTATATGCTTTAATTGACATTTAACTAAATAAAAGTTGTGCATTAAATCCCTGGCAAATACTTCATACATTGTGCTATATGACATGCTGCATCATTGTAAGATTGCAAGTTCCAAGGAGCAGGGCCCTCCTACCCTCTTGTATTGAACTGTATTGTTTCTGTATTGTCTCCCTTTATATTGTAAAGCGCTGAGCAAACTGTTGGCGCTATATAAATCCTGTATAATAATAATAATTGGACTTTAGAACTCATCCTCAGTTATTAAAAAACAGACAGATGAATGATGTGCAGCAACTCACTATGTACATATTTAATTATACAAATGTCTGATTGAAAATATTAAAATTGATCCTGCACATTTCAGTAGATTCTCACCAACAACAATGTAAAAGAAAGTTAAAAAGCAGCAAAATAAAGACTGTAGCATATTGCAATTTGAAAACAGCAAAGAAGATGTAAAGAATATATATATAAGGGTATTCATGTGGGCAAACAGGGCAAATAAATTAAAGAGCTGCAATGTGCTTTATTTTTATTTGTTTATAAAACATAGAGGTAAAAAATATAGTAAAAAAATGCCTATATCCACATATTGCAAAAAAACTCAATGAATTAGATAGTACTTTCTTCAGTATTTATTCCTGCTTCATATGAAAGAATAAAATGTCCTTGTGAACGTATGGTACAATTTAGAATAATCTGGAGCATAATAAATGTTAACATATGGTTCTGTAGTCTGTGGCTACTTATGCTGTATTTATTCTATAGAACAGTCTGCCTTGTCTGGACATCACCTCGGTTTGCATTTCTTCTTTGGGCACTGAACCTGTGATTACAGTTTTGACTACACGATGGCTGAGGACAGCGCTGGAGCAAGTGAGAAGATAATATCCAGGCATTCATACAGGAAAGGATGTTGCTAAGCAATACGATAGGTTGCATAACCTACAATACTAAATATTGTGTCTTTCATTCCGACCCATTCCACGTATTATATGCCTTGTCTGTTCTGTCTGAATCGCTGAGGATATTAGTTGCATTTTCCGAAAGTGCATATCCAGGTTTCAGAACATGTACTGTATCTCTCTGGCAGAGCACTGCTCCTTGACAAACTGAAAAGCCAGTAAGTATTATCTTAGATTAAGAGCATTGCTGTAAGTTTAGCATCCCTCATTTTATGTTTTGGTTAATATTTTTGTAGACTTAAATCCTATTTGATAGAGAAAATGTTTGCCACCAGTGATTATTTCTGTTTTCTATGCATTCATGTTCTCAAAACAGTTAACCCAGTCCGCTATGTAAATACATCCCATAAGGATTTTTTGTCAATCAGATAATATGTAGAAATGTGATTAAAAAAGCAAAACAAAATGCCTTATAGTTTTGGGTAAATCTAGGGAGTATGTACTTGTCCTGTATCCATAAAGGTGAATACTTTTTAAAATAGCATTGCATAAATATAATAATTAATCACATTCCTCCTTTTACTTTTAAATTATTTACTCCTTAATGAATGTCCTATTTGATAATGAAATTCATAAAGGATTTTGCAGATTGTTTAATGTTTCGTGTTAATAATAACTATATACATTTAAGTTCCTATTTTTTGGATTTCTATATACGTATCAGATATGAAGAATGCCTCAGTCCAACGTCCCCTTTTTGCTCTTCCCTGTAATCCAGCTGATATTATTGCTTTTTTATCTCTGAATAAAACAGTTGGCATCTTCTACATTTGACTGTTTATCTCACTTGCCTTATTTTTCTAAGTTATTATTTATCATGTTCTAGTTTGTCATTTTAAACCATCGCTATTCATGCACACTATAGTTTTCTGTTTTATAAGAGAACATAAAGTCTTCTAAAACATTCCAAAAATATCTTTTATCTCAGCTGCCCTTTATTTATTAGTGATGGTATGAAAAATGTGATACAAATGTCAGTAGTTACTAGGTGCATTTTTGTACTTTGGTGGAAACTGGTGTTTTATCAGTCCGTATTTATATTCCTCTTTGATGACATTATATAAGAACTTTTTGGCTGTTTCTCATCACTATTGGTCTCCTGGATGTGAAAAGACAGGAGCACATAGGCACTTATCAGCTCTCTGCTACATCAATCTTCTACTATTTTTTATTACATTTATAACTTACAATTGCATTTACAGAAAGATGCTACTGTATGCATGTGATTGCTTAATTCCAAGCATCCAAGTGCATAAAGATGACCCAATTTACATGTTAGTAAATGGAGTTGTACGGACTGGAGGTGCTTCTTTAGGATAAGCCATTCTCTGCTTATATTTGTTGTAGGGTCTAAAAATAAACAATAATGAGCTATAAAGAATGGAGAGAATTTAAATTGTATTCTGAGTGTAGCAAGTCTTGATTATTACAACTGGCCTGAGTTGTATAATACTGCCAGAGTAATAAACTTAAACCTGGTTTATTTCACTGTATCTATAACATTAGTAATATTAATGCCCTGAAACACATGTTCACTGCAGGCAGAAGTTTGGAGCTGATCTTAATAGGTATCCAGTTTCATGGCCGAGCACATTTAAGGAAGTCCTACCTGTTCTCATAGTGGTATCCGGGGGCAGACTGACCATTCAGGCACTCTGGCACTGCCCAAGGGCCCGGGGTCAGTAGGGGGCCCCATGATTTCCTATTGCCAGGGGGCCCCATGAGTTGTCAGTCCGCCCCTGGTGGTACCTTTCCAGGTGATTAAACATATGTTATAGAAGGACAGGAGATCATGAACAATACCTTCAGGGGCTAAAATGCTCAGAATGTAGCTGGCAGTAGACTTCACAGAAGTGGTATACAGCAACTACAGGACAAATTGTTTTGCAAATTGTAAATAAAACTATTCTTACCTGGGTATAGATGGTATTCTTCACCAACACCTGAGTGCAGTTTCCTTTGACATGGGATCTTGGGACCTGGACTTAATAACTGGATGCAGAAGTTGCAACTCTTCCCCCAAGTAGCATGCCTACAGAGGAAGTCCTACCTGTTCTCATAGTGGGACCTTTTCAGGTGATTGCAAATATCCCCCATGGAACCCTAATTTCTTTTTCCCCATGAGCCTCATCATATCACAACTAGATCCCATCAATCCTTCTCCCACCAGTAACCATTCTCATAGCTACTGGTAGGCAGTTGCATAATGATGTCACCTGTTTGCCTATAAAGGGGACATTTAGCCTCTTTAAAGATATATGCATGACATGACTTAGTATATATTGGTAACTTATTGAATGCAATATGTGGGTTCTTTGAGTGTGAAGATATGGTTGTCATTGTCCACCTTGTGTGTTTGCCTATATGAATGATATGTGGGTTTCAAATTGGTAGTGCTTAATTCGAGTATTCAGATGTTAGCGTAAAATTATTATTTTAAATTCTGCTCATCCTAACTAGATGGTTAAACTGACCACAACCTAGGAGGAATATTAACCCCGTAGATTAGCATGTGATAAATATGAACCTTTTAACTCTTTTATATATTTTGGCATAGCCCTATGTTTCTACAGCTATCACAAACACCAGGGCATCAGTTTTGTTGTATTACATTTTACTTATTTGTATGTTTTTTATTGAAGGTTCTTTTTTTAACTAGAAATGTACATGAAGAATATATTAAAATGAGTGCATATACTGTATCTGGATGTCTGACAACTCAGCTCGTAAATCACAGACAATCCTACAGTTACTGAAATAGAGGAGTGTAAATGTGCTTACATTTTAATTTGTTTGAAATTTGTAAAAGGACACTTGAGAAGTAAGAATCGCCTAAAACTATTCACTCAAGCATGATTCCCGGCACTGTTGTTCCTTTCAAAACAGTTAATGGAGCAGAAACACATACATGTTTTCAATATAAACATAATTAAAATACGTGTGATTAACGTGTTATTTTGAATTACCCGAGCATAGATCTGCTCTCTTTTTTGGTGATTATGCAGGAGTTCTAAAATCCAGCTCTTAGTATTCTTTTGTGAAATCAGCACAAAAAGCAAATTCACAGTTCTACAATAAAATGCTCTGACACATACCACAGACCTTCAATAGCTCTCTGTATTTCCCTCCCTTAGTGACAGCAAAGCCATTGGTCTGTATCTGATTTGAGGCCTCTTCTGCTACTGGCTGAGACAATGTGGCTTAACCAAGATGATAGGTAGGGAGCAGCTGACGTGATGACCGGCTGGGTGCTGTGTATCTAGGAGAAGCATGTTATGTATAGCTATTTAAATCTCAGCCAAATGATGCAAGCAGTGTTGTCTGCCTCTAAAAAAAGTAGTAAAAAGGTTAGCAATAATACAAACTAAGAGTGAAATCATGTCATTCTGAACTATTCAAGTACTGAACGAAAGTATTCAAGCGTACTTCTTAATTGACCCAAATATTACATGAAGAGAAACCTGCTCCTGTTGAATTATCCTTATGTGACTTGAGATTTGGGGGCAGACAGACATGCCCTGAGATCACAGCAGTTTGAAAGGTGTAGAATGAAATGTCCTTGTGTCGTAAATACAAGTCAACATTGAAATCTTAATACTTGTATTACTGCCAACAACGACATGGCAAACATTTGTATACAGTCTTATATGCAGTTACAAATAAATGTTTACTACGATTTAAGAAAAAAATCAATATGCCAGAATCAAAGAGTCAATCCGCCTAATACTGATATTTAGCTTTTTGTTTACTATACAGTTTATTATACCTCTTGGGATCTCTGTGACCCGTTGCTGCTGTTATGAGGGTCCTATTCTACGTGTTAGATTTTTTTTAAGGCAACAGGCGGTACTAGGATATGCAAACTCATAACTCCTAGGTGGGAATAAAAGAGACAGGAACTGTGGTGAGATCTGGCTGCTGTTATATCTGAGACATATAAAAAGCCAAAGGCCGACTCATTCAACCAGACTCCACCTATAACTAAAATATCACTTTTTTTATTAAAACAGAGAAATTTGCTAACCGTGTAATTATTATATGCATTGCAAGGTCTGGACATGGGAATCAAGGAACAGATTCACTCTGGCAAAGTAAGCAGAACAGCATTACTAATTGCTAGAATGGAGACAGAGACCATGAAATTCTGGGAGAGCTTGATTTGAATGTGTTAGTTATGAAACCAATATGTTTATGTAAAAGACATTGTTTGTTCATAAGCAAATTTTGTCTATGTACAAAACGCTGTGTTCTTGGTGTGCTTTATGTATTTTTTATTGATCTGTGTAGTGATCCAGTGTGAAACTTTGCCTCTATGAAGGAGATTCTTGTAATAAAGAACAGTTGCTGTAAATCCTAATAATGTCACCATTCTGTTTACAATGTAATATCTGGGTTTGCAAAGGCATTTGGTGCACACAGAGTGGAATTATGTCCTTTGTGTCTACATTGAAATGATAGTTTAATGCCTAAAGTTCAACTTTGAAACCTAAGTTGTTTTTTTGATATTAGCACAAGGGATGTTACTTACTATCAATGAGATGTGTCCCTTGTGCTGCTGGCTCCTGCTTTAGCTGAAATGTTTCTCCTCTGATATCCCAACTACCCCCAGCCTCTGTAATCTTCCAGTGCAGGTGGGGAGGGGTTAATAGAGCCGAAGGACCTGTCATACGCCCTCATCAAGAGTGCTATGACTGCCCTTTCTACCTACCTCCTCAATTCATAAAAACTTTCTATGCACGAAAAATGATCCTTGAGTGGAGGACATTCATAGATAATTTTTCAGTTATGGAAGCTATAGTACAGCTTTTATTGAATGCAGGAGATGGGTGTGTGGGAAGGTGCAGAGTGATGTGGCAGCAGTGAGTACACAGAGTCCAGTCGTAGCAAAAGTTTAAACTTGTATTAACCGCTTGCCCTCCAGGGGATTTACCCCCGTTCCTGACCAGGCCATTTTTAGCGGTACGGCACTGAGTTATTTTAACTGATAATTGCGCAGCCATGCAATGCTGCACCTTTTTTCCCCCCACAAATAGAGCTTTCTTTTGGTGGTATTTGATGGCCTATGTGGTTTTTATTTTTTGTGCTATAAACAAAAAATGACTGACAGTTTTGAAGAAAAAAAACAATATTTTTGACTTTTTGCTATAAAACCTATCCAATATAAAAATGTAAAAAATAAAATGTTTTAATAAATTTAGGCCAAAATGCATTCACATGTCTTTGCTAAAAAAAAATCCCAATAAGTGTATATTAATTGGTTTACGTGAAAATTATAGCGTCTACAAATGGCAGTATATATAATGGAATTTAATTATTTTTTTATACTAGTAATGGGGGCGATCAATGACTTATAGTGGGACTGCGACGGGCATTCGGACACTGGGTGGGAACTAACTGCCACTGTTATCTCCTGTGACACAAATACATTGATCATTGCTAATAAAAAGCACTGACACTGTATAAATGACACTGGGCAGGAAGGGGTTAACATCTGGGGCAATCAAAGGGTTAACTGTGTACTGTGTGTGTTTTACTTGGCAGACATGCTGCTTTGTATCTCTGCACAGCAGAGAGATACAAAGAAGAATGTCCATGCTGAAAGGAGAGAGATCTGTGTTGTTTACACACAGATCTCTCCCCTCTCAGCCCTGCCAACGATCACCGATTCCCAGCCAGGAATCACCAGCCGGGACCCGGTGATTGGCATATCTAGCAGCTAATAGCAGCACGGGTAGGGCAGAGCCACCCTGTAGCACTATATCTGTTATGGGGCAGCTCCTAAGTGGTTAAACAGAATGCCACCGTTATAAACACCCAAAAGTACCACTTAGGGAAACACTCACAGTTCAGTTCAAATGCAGAAATGCAGTGGGAGGAGATGCACCGACAACATCTGTTTCAGAGGGCTCTCTGGTCCCAAAAGGGGAGGCTTCCTAGCAGGACATAGAGTTCCTAGCCTGGCCCTACTCATCTGGAGCCTTTTCCTGCCGCTAATCACTTTCCCTGCCAGACATAGCCTTCTCCCTACACTATCCACTTGCATAATGCCGGCCACTGCAGTGGACCAGGGCTTTTTGTAAGCTCTGCCTTCAATAAAGATGGCCACTAGAGTCACATGGGACAAAAACATCCAACTGAATTGGTTTCCAGTGACCCAGGAAGCCAGAGAGAAACCATGTTTCTCCTGACTTTCTCTACAGGATATGGTACCGTTCAGGTTGAGCGCCACCTACAGTGGAGAAAACAGACCTGTACCGGGTGGCGATTATGGTGGTGGGGATGGGGAGGAGGATTTTAGCTAAAGCAGGAGCCAGCAGCACTATGGAAGCATCACAGTAAAGTAATGTTCCTTGTGCCAATTTGATTTTTCTAAACTTAGGCTTTAAGTCTGTTTGGTTGGGAGTGCAAATACAAGAAGTAAATTATGGAAAACTCCCAGAGATCCCACTGTGCTCTGTTTTTGGTGAACGGTAACTTTAAGGGCAGCACAGCAGTATGTATACTTAACACTTTACACCTACTTCCCATTGTCTTT